GATGCTTTTACAACTTTCTTCAACACCAAGTTACCTCTTTTTTGGGTCTTTAATTCCTCATTCTCAAGATACTTTCAGTCAAGACTTGACCAACCAGTATCTTGATGTTTACCTTTCCCAGGATGCTTTGGTCATCCATGCCATTACATGTCAGGTCCTTCTGATTTATCCTTACAGGCTTGTGCAACCCCGATTTCTTCGTCACTTTCAGCCCCAAACTACACCCCTCTTGCCTCTTCATTTCACTATATCCTTACTCCACCAACCTTGGTCACCAGTCCAACATCCTGTCCTTAACACCCTCCAACTTCATGCCTGGCATTTATCAAGTCCTTAGCGTGGTGTTCTAGATTGTCAAGGCATGTTGTCTCCCTTTTAGCTCAGACCATTCAACATTCCTCTCTTGAGTTTTATCAACATAAGTGGAACTTCTTCTACCATTGGTCTTTGAGTCAGAGTTTTTCCCCTTCTCAGCCCATTGTTCCTCATATTAGGGATTTCCTCATCTGGCTGTTTGATCATGGGGGTTTCTGTCTTCTATCCAACACCTTCCCTTTTTTCCAGTACCATTTGGTTTTGTCCTCTCCTACCATCAACCTTCCATATATGTAGACCTCCTTGTCAGGTGGTTCTTCCGGATTGGACTGTCAATTTTGTTCTTCACTGCCTTATACTCCCTCCATTTGAACCTTTGTCCTCATGTTCCTTGTATCACTTATCCCTTATGGCTTATTTCCTACTCCTTTTTGATTGTGGGCTTTGTTGGTCTGATAAATTTGCCATCAGTGTTTCAGATACTCTGTTCCATTCCACATATGTTCTCCTTTATCCAGGTCAATCTTTCCTACCCAAAACTTTGATGACTCATGAGGGACATTCTTTCTTCTCTCCAATTTCTCTTCCATCCATTTTCCTCCTGTATTCCCCGATTGATCTGGATAGACTGCTATGTCCCATATGTGCTATTCATTGTTATACTGCCCATACAGCCTCCTTCCGTGGTTTGCATTCCCATCTTTTCATTCCCTGGCAATAATCCTCTGTAATTGACTTTGTTCCTTCTACTCTTCCAGGTTGGGTTTATAAACTGATTAGATTAGCATATTTCTCCATGTCTCCTTCTTCCTAAAATCGGTTTCAGGTGTTGTCACATCAGATCAGGCACCTTACCTTTTCTTTGGTGTCTCATCTCCATTTTCTGTTGGAGGAAATTCTTCAGTCAGTCATGTGGACTATACCTCATACGTTCATCTCCCACTATCTTAATTGGGTAGCTGTTTCTTCTTCATTGGGGTACCACATTCAGCCTGTTGCCATCCTTCAAATATTGGTGCATCTGACACTAGGTAACTTATATTTTCTATATATATATATATTTCCTTCCAGTGGCATGTCCCATTTAGGTTTAGGATCCTGTTCAGTGGTAAACATTGCCTGTCCAGGTATACTACCTATTTCTCAAATCCAATCTGTGTGGCCAAGATGTCAACCAATGGCCATGAATGTACACTGTTGAAATGGGGTGTTCGACAGGATCACTAGTAAGTTTTCCTCACAATATATATGCTTCATAAATATGCCTGTACTAGACCATGCTAACCCGTGGATTTACATGGGTAAAGCAGAAGGGAATAGCTGTCCATCCCTTTGAATAAATCAGGGGTGGTCTGCTTTTCAAAATAGGGTTTTTGTGGTCCCCCATTAAACTGTTTCTTGTGTGTGCTTTCCTCCAGACTCTCCACCATATTTTGTTTCTTCTTCTTCTTCTTCTGGTGGAGTGTAGAAGTTCTTGCCACTGGGGTGGTGGACCATAAAGGAGTCCTCCTGAATATGATCATTTCCATTCAGTAGAGAGTAGGATAGTGGTGTTCTACTGGTGTAGATGGTGTTCAAGCATCCAATTGTGTGCTCCACTTCCATGAGGTGAGTCCCAGAAGTTGATGTTACACCCAGCTTCTGTGCAGTTCTATCCGGAGGATGAGGTTGTGTATATTTTCTAGAGATGATCCACTTCTGTGTGGCAGAACCCAGAGGTTGGTACTGTGCTCCAGCTTCTGTGGGGTCCTATCTGGGAGATGATGTTGCACATATTTCACAAAAGGATACTCCACCTCCATGCAGTAGGTCATGGAGGCTGATGCTGTGCCCAGCTTTTATGTGGTTCTATCCAGAGGGTGAGGTTGCATGTCTTTTACAGAAGTGATCCACTTCCATGCAGTGGGACCCGGAAGTTAACGTTGCTCTCCAGCTTTTGTGTGATCCTATCCATAGGATGATGTTGCTTTGGAGAAAATACATCCCATTGCATTTCCCCCCTCTGATTGGGTTCCCTCATCCTATCATTACATGGATGTCGGTTACCAATGGGTGGTTTTGGATTAGAGCTAGACCAATCAAAATCAATCCTCACACATGTTGGTTGTGATTCCTCATCCTTACTCAGTTTTCTAAATTTTGCCTCATATTCTCCATACATTAGGTTCTGGAGGTTGATGTGTGCACATGTGCTCTAACTTCTGTGCAGTCCCTTCTGAAGGATGATGTTGTTTGGAGTAAAGGTTCTCCCTCTAGCACTCCACCTCAGAAAGATTCCCCTATTTCAGACTACTGTTGCACAGTGGGGTACTAGTCAGATTGAGGTTTGATGTGAACTGCCACATTTGCATATCTCTTCATGCCGTCATTTGGATTTTGGGTTCCGGAGGTGTGGTTGTGGATATGCACATATGTTCCCCATTTTGTATTTTGGTTTGAAAAGTATATACTTCTGTTCTACTCAACTTGAGGTGAAGACAGTGTGGACCCTCCTCCTACCATGGGTTGGAAGTGTTATTCCCGATGCCACTTGGTTTTGGACTGGAGTTGACCAGCCGTGTAGTCTGATGTATCCTAGTCACTCTACACCTTGGGGCACATCAGTTTTCATTTCCCCCACATTCTTATCTGTGGATGGTTCTTCTAAAGTCATTCTTCACCAGGATTCAGATATATTGTGGTTCGATTTTTCACCCACCTAATTTTATCTCCCTTTTTTGGTTGTGCTCCTCCCACTCTCCACCTTTGTATGCAACACCTATTTCTACATTGGGAACTGGGTATACCTGGTACAGAAGTGATGCAGTATCCCACTTATGTTCCTTACCCAATGGGGATCACACTTGATTGGTGTTTTTTGGATGCTTCTTTATATCCTTTGCACCATTCCCTCAACCTCTTCTATAGCTATACATGTGGGAAGAGGTAAAGTATCGCATCGGAAGTTATTATTTTTCCATACTGAAAATATATTTCTGATAGGTACTTAACTTCTCTCAAATTTCCCACCCTTTCTCCCCACTTAAAACCAGTGCTTCGTTTCTGCCTGATCTTGAAGTTATAGTTCTGTAGAATCAAATAGAGGGAACTATATGTGTCAGGTGTTTTGCACTCGGTGGAGGGTTGTTGCATGATCATTTACATGTGAGACGCAGTGAACCACGTTGATCATGGGGTACGTGAGAGCTCAAGGTTTGTGGCATGCAAAACATTTTTGCACATAGAGAGCAGCACTGAATGAGAATAGCTATACATTTGAATATAGGTAAGTACCTATCAGAAATATATATTCAGCATAGGAAAATAATAACTACCAAATTCACATATAGAATGTTTAAAATATCCTTTTCTATTTATTTTTTTATAATATAACATAAAAGTATCAAGTTTAAGTAAAATGATAATGCAGATCAACATTTGTTTTTAGATTAAGGAAACATCTACTTTTACAATAGCTCACTTTCGATTTTCTGGCTAAAATCCAGGGTTCAATATCCTGCTGTGGATGCAGCAGATAATCCAGTTTGGTTGTGCTATAAAACAAACAAACAAGTAAATTATCACACCTTAATGTAAGATTCTGTTGTAAAAATCTCATTTACAAAAGTTATAATTGGCCATTATTTTGAGTTCTGAGAAAGTATACAGATTTTAAATTTCCAATGTATTTTCTGCTTTGTTTCAAAACACATAAATTGTTATGGTTTTTATTGGCTGAAAAAAACAGAAACTAATACTTTAAGTTCCTGAACTTAAAAAAGAACAGCACAGCAACATCTACAATGACAAGATGTTTGTATAATAATTTCTTTTCAGGCACAATGTGGTACTATATTAAGACTAAAAACCACAAAAAGTGAATTTTTGGCAAAATAAAGGTAAAAATCTCTCTAGTCAGCTGTAACTAATATTTACCTTTCAATTTGCCAAAAAATGTCATTGTGTCATATACTATTAATATTGTTTGCATGAGGTTCTATGCATTTTCACTTGGGAAGAAATACCTAACACGTTATGCTAAAATTTTTTAGGTACCCCAAAAATATTTTGCATAATTTGTTTTACTAAAAAAATATGTATGCATATATAGTTATTCCCTAGGGACAACATAACATAAACCTCCTACAGAATTGGGCCTATTTAAGCAGGGTGTTTTTTCTTGAAATTAGCATCACATACTTCTGTACACAGAATACTAGACTTAGGAACGCTTGTAATACACAATTACTAAAACTGTAACAAAAGAGAGAGAATAATGTGAAATGCAAGTGTTATCAAGAGGTCTTTGCTTCCCTGAATAGTAACATTTAAATTGATATCCTCTTAAGTCTTCTACTTGGTAGAATTTCTCATCTTTTTTATCCCCCCCCCCCTAAACGTACACTAAAGTTACTGTTAAATTGGTAAGCTAGAAAGCTGTTTAACAAAACTAGTCGTAATGTTAATAATTGGTAAGCTAGAAAGCTGTTTAACAAAACTGTCGTAATGTTAATGTTGCAACTATACATTTTTCATTGTAATTACCATACATCATCATATCTTTGTCATTTTATTTTGAAAATAAACACATACTGAAAAGAATATGTTTCTTGAATCACAAGTTTGTTTTGTTAATAACCATAAGTGAAAGAGGCATTATTTGTACAGGTATTAATTCTTTTATTAAAACTTTACTATTCTTTCAGATCACAACATTGAGAGAACAACTACTTCATCAACAACAGCGGTGGGAACAGTTCCGACTTCACAGTTCACAAGCAGGGAGTGAAATTCGTAGTTTACGTTCTGTTCTAGACAGCTCACTCAGGAATGTGTCTGGTGATCCACGTCAGTTAGATCTAGAAGCCAGAAAACTAGACAACACTATAGAACGCCATTTGCTAGCAAGCCCATCAATCACTTTAACCACTCCTTCAAAATTCTCACGAGCATCGTCACCACCTCAACGTTTGAGAACTTCGACACCAACTCGTAGTAAAGCTCGGAAACGATTAGAAGTTTCATAATTTCAACTTTTTTAATGTACTTGAATGAAGATGTCATTTGATTAGATTTTTATTGATCTTATCATTTTTAAGCAGAGTTATGTTTAATGTAATAATTTCTAGTTTTTATATATTATAATTTACAGAACATTATACTTTGAATTTTGATAGGATCACTTAATCTCCAATATTTCATCATAAAAAATGTCATCAATGTTCCTTAAAGTAGTCATAATGTTTAGAAATGTTCTGTTTAAAAAATAAAAAGTTTTTGTCGTATCTCAATATTTACAATTCCAAAGATTGTTAATGTATTTTAGTGTTTTATGTAAAACACAATTTAAATATCATTATGTATGTTGTTTTTGTATCTTTTTTTTTCCCACTGCTAGTTACAAATTTATTCATGCACATGACAGCAGTTCATCATTGTTGTGTTTTAATTTTTTCTCTAGTTAAGTGGATTATATTATCTTTATGTGTAAATATGTATTCAGTTTTAATTTTAACTGTATGGAAACATTGGCATTTTATTCTCCGTTGTTGTTTTTTGACAGAATAGAGTGTGGTTTTAATGTTTAGATGTTCTATGGAATTATCATAGAACATGCTAATTTCTGAGGTCAGGAAGTATTGGAAGTGAAATGTTTTAACATCTAGGTGTTCTATGTAGTTATCATAGAACATGCTAGTTGATGAGTTTAGCCAGTATTGAAGGTGAAATGTTTTAACATCTGGCAGGCTCCCTTCAGGTGGTCCATGGAAAGGAAGTGGCAGCATAGTGTATAGATCATATTATGGTCCATTCAGGTAAAAATAAAGATTCAGGTGGTCCACAAGCAAGAAGTATGAAAACCATTGTACTCACACTGAGTAAAAATGTATGTTACTTGTCATAATCTAATACTTAAAAAACCTTATCAAGAGTAATTTCTCATAAACTTAAAACTACATCATCGCCTTTTATCAAAGCAAATAAACTAGTATTTATATTTTATTTAAATGATGAAAATTAGCTTTTTGTAATCTTTGACATTTGTCATAAACTAGCATGCTCTATGATGACTCCATAGAACACCTAGATATTAAAACATTTCACCTTCAATACTGGCTAAACTCAAAAACTAGCATGTTCTATGATAACTACATAGAACACCTAGATATTAAAACATTTCACCTTCAATACTGGCTAAACTCAAAATCTAGCATGTTCTATGATGACTCCATAGAACACCTAGATGTTAAAACATTTCACCTTCAATACTGGCTAAACTCAAAATCTAGCATGTTCTATGATAACTACATGGAACACTTAGATGTTAAAACATTTCACCTTCAATACTGGCTAAACTCATCAACTAGCATGTTCTATGATAACTACATGGAACACTTGGTTTTACCCATGTTACAGTTAACTAGGTAAGTGTTACTAGACAGTATAAAACATGGTTTTACCCATGTTACAGTTAACTAGGTAAGTGTTACTAGACAGTATAAAACATGGTTTTACCCATGTTACAGTTAACTAGGTAAGTGTTACTAGACAGTATAAAACATGGTTTTACCCATGTTACAGTTAACTAGGTAAGTGTTACTAGACAGTATAAAACATTTCTGTACTGATGCAGTGATTTTTAATTTGTGATTAAATGTTTTATACTGTCTAGTAACACTTACCTAGTTAACTGTAACACGGGTAAAACCATAACGTATTCCATCAGTGTAACACTGTGCATTTGCTTGTAGTCTGTAGGATAGAGTAATTTTAGACTAGTTCAAAAATACAAGCTTGATTTGGGGAGATTTAAAGAATATCAATGTGTAACCTTCACAATGTTTCTTTTAAGCACACAGTTTCATCTACATGTGTACTGTTTGCAATTAATGTCTGTGATATTTGTTTATCATACACAAGGGGCTAAATGTGGCCTTAATGGATAGCATGCCAGACTGCGAATGGTTTGTGTCACATTGCCACAAAATTTCACTCCATATTTTGAAGTCATTGATGTGTTATAAGAGCAACAGTTAAATCCTACTATTTGATTAGAGTAGCCTAAGAGTTGGCAGTGGATGCTGTTGACGATCTGCCTTCTTCATAGTCTATCAGTTCAAAACGAGGAATATCTAACACACATAATATTGTTCATTCAACAATACTTCACATCATTCAATAATTAGAGGATTATGCACAACTAAAAAATAATTTTTCACCTTTGACCCATTATTGTGGAGCCTGTTTTACAGTAAATAATGTAATGAGTTTTGTTGTAGTGGATTACTATGATATCTGTAACCTAGCTAGTACTCAGTTATAGATATTCACTCACAGAACTATAATCGTATCTGTGTTCTGGGACATAATTGTAGGTATTATTTGAAAGCCTACTATAATGTCTATATCCTTACAAACAGTTTTATGTATCACTATTCTGGTATGAAGTAACATATATTAACTTATAGCCTATGATGAAAATTGTGTCTGTGTACAGAAAAAATAAACAGTATTATGAATGCAAAGCACAATGTTTTTGTGGTTTTATTGGGAGAGGTTTGGAAAATTACCTTGAGTTTTGTCAAGAATAAACTTTAAAAAAAATACAAAATATGTAACAAATTTATAAAAAACAAATAAACTGTAACACACATTTCCTTTATAGTTGTATTCTCAAGTGCCTAGGCTATAGATGCTTCAGGGAATGAGCAATATGTAGAAATTTATGAGCACTCAGCAGAACATTTGATAAAATTACATTACATAAAACCATTAAGCATAAAAAAATGTGTAGACATTTTTTTTTTTCATGTAAAGCAAAAACAAAAAGAGAAACCCCCTCTGAATCTATTCATACTTGTAATCATAGACAAAAGCACTGATTTGTGGGTGCATTCATTGCTTGAGCATCCAAACCTGAATGAAGAAGACTTACTTGGAAATCTTCGAGATATAAATGGACAGAGCCATAAGAAAAGAGAGTGCCGTGCTTAGAGGGTTATAGTGTCTTTTATAGTAACTTGGCACTTTAGTTACTCAACTACAGATAGTGTTCTTACTAATAACTTGGCACTTTAGCTCCTTAATGCAAGCTAAAGATATTCTCTTCACTAGTAGTTTGGCACCTTAATTAGCCACTACAAGCTAAAGAAAATGTCTTCACTAGTAGTGTGACACATTAGCTAGTCAATACAAGTTAAAGGTAGTGTTTTTCTTAGTAGCTTGGCACCTTAGCTGGTCAATACAAGCTAAAGAAAATGTCTTCACCAGTAGTGTGACACATTAGCTAGTCAATACAAGCTAAAGGTAGTGTTTTTCTTAGTAGTTTGGCACCTTAGCTGGTCAATACAAGCTAAAGATAGTGTCTTTAGTTGTAACGTGGCAAATTAACTGGTCAAAACAAGCTAAAGAAAATGTCTTCACTAGTAGTGTGACACATTAGCTAGTCAATACAAGCTAAAAATAGTGTCTTCATTTTACTGTTTCTTTTTTCAGTTAAATTGTAAACAAAGGACGGCTTTAAAAAAACGATTATTCAAACAAAATCCCACCATCTAAAGGCGCATGACTTCTTATAAAACAAACTCCATCTTTACGATTGTTGTTATTCTGGGATATCGAAAAATTAATTTTTTTTTTTAGCTTTTCACGGAATGTAATATTTTTCGTTAATGCTATAATGTCTATATTTTGAGTTTTCCGATGAAATAAGCACTATCCAATATTTTTTCTATGAGTTTTTCGTCAATAAAGAACCTTTTTTCATTTTCCAAAAAAACTGATATTTTCAACAAAAAGCCAAGGCCATGTTTTTTCCAAATTAGCAAAAACAATTTTTTTAAAATTCTATTTCAATACAAAGATGCCTTTGATGTAAGACTTTCAAAATGCAGAACCTTTCATCAAAATTTCCAATAGTAATTTCATAATCCGTTTACAAACTTTTCCTATATTCGATTTTACTGTTGTTGTTTTTTCATTTCTTCGTTTACAATAGGAAGAGCTTT